ATTGTTTATATTAAATACACATCTCGACGGAACATAGATGTCGTTGATCTAAATTCTTCGAAGTAGAGGTCGCTACAAAAGGAGACTATGTGGTGCCATCTATCGGCACAAATTCGACGAAAGAAACAATTTGTTATTTCCGAAGAAAATTAATTAAATCGTTTAATTTAGAAACTTTTCTTCTGCATTCTATTTATTCTATGAAATGTACAAATAAAAATTTTTGTAAACTTTACTCTTAATCAATTTAGGTGTGACATGGTCAATAACCTGAAACCTGAGTGCTCGTTTGCGTTATGGTATCCTCTGTTTTGCAAAGATTCTCTGAAAGCTACGATTATTCACATTCCTGATGAGGTACTCAAATACTTGAAATATGACGCTTTCGTTTTACCCGTCGAAGCAATAAATTCCACGTTACAAAACGCAGAATGGATGGATGGGTCTCCAATAGCGAGTGACGAGGTAAATTTGAAATACATGTATTGAGAAAATGGAATAATTGAGAACAATTTCCTTCTAGCATTTGTGCGAGACTCAACCAACGTTCCCACAATTCAGCCAACAAATTCAGAATGTCATAGACGAGTATGGTGCAGTCTTTATAAAATGTAATTGGAGTTCACCTCTGGTGCGTAGTTAGGCTTTTGCCAAAAGAATATTTCATTTCATTAGTGACACCTGTTTGCAGGATGCGACCTGGGTTGCACCGACCAAAACATTGAAATGCAAAACTCTAGAAGAAGTGTACTTGTTGTTGAAAAGTTCAGATAGGATCGCCAAAGATCTGAATACTGCGGAGAATTATGTAGATCATGAAACTCCTGTGAAATCTTGTCTTATCTTAAAACAATGGAGGGATATCAATCCTTGCACAGAATTCCGATGCTTTGTAATAGAGAATGAACTTATAGGTAATAAATTTGGAACTGTTTAGAGCATTTGTATCTTACGTTGTCTAATTACGAAAGATTGTTGTTTTAATTTTTTCTTTTTGCAGCGATTAGCCAACGAGATATATCGCAATATCATAGTTACAACGAATCAGAAAAATACAATATTCAAACAGATATCAAAAGTTTATTTACGGAACGTATTAAAGAGAGGTTCCCTTTGAATAACTGTAAGTATTTGTAGAGTACTCTTGCTCAGTTCAACTGTACATTTTTAATGTGTAATGATGCTGTGACATAGATTCGTTTGATGTTATACGGTACAAGAAAGAGAAAGTAAAGATAGTTGACTTTGGCCCTTTGGACGAATCTGTTACCAAAGGCACCCTCTTTACTTACGAGGAATTGCAGAACCTGGAGGAAAATATTCCAGAATTTAGGTTCATCGGCGAGGAAATTGGTATTCAACCAAAAGCTACAAATCACTTTTGCATTCCACAGGAAATAAATGAATTTTTTCAATCCAATGAAAATTCTACGTTATTGGACATCATTCAACGAGTAAGTACGAGTGAATTTCTAGAAATTACAACACACATTTAATACTGTTAATATTTCACTGAATGTTTCTTACTCAAGGAGGTGGAAAGTCAACGGAAAAAATATGAAAACGCAAATTCTAACAGCGTGGAATACGATTGATATGCGTCTAAAAAGAAAAAAAAAGAGATTATTAACAAATAAATAATTGTGGAATCAGAAAATCATTTTTAAATACAGAACTTTCACTTTTATTCTGCCAGACCCTCTTCTATCATTACATTACATAAAACGATTAAAGGCTAACCTACCGCTTAAAAGAATTATCGTAATATTGCAATATTTTTCGAGCCATCGGCCTTACCGAGCGACGTCCTTTATATAGAAAATATGTCTTGTTTATGTACAATATGCAATCCTTAATACTTCGACTTGAAAAAGGATTCTCGATATATGTACCTCCGGACAAGTTAATACGCTGTACAGTCATATCCACGGAGTATTTTTTTTTTTTTTCGTTTTCTCCACGTTATTACCTGACAAAAGTCAACAAGATCGAGCAATTACATTAATTGATCCTTACTCATTCTTCCGATTTTATATTTCCTGATTACATTTGAACATGAAAAATATCTGGTGGTAGCTTTTAGCAACTGATCAACCCTTCCTCTTTACTTTTAACGCTCTATCTATGTGCGATGGTTCTTCAGGACTGTTATCACTTAGACATTCGTATATCCAATTGATTGATAAATTTTTGTTCGCTTTGCATTTACATACTGTAATATTTCGTAACTGTTGAAAGAAAGAAAAGAAAGAAATGAATCGGAAGAGAAGTTTGATAGCCAATGTCAACAGTTAAGTTTGCAAAATATGTAAAAAATACAATCTTAAAAGTAGAATCGGCTTAAATTTTAATTTGCAAAAGTTCGTGTTCATTGCATAGTCGTAATTTGGTTATCCGTTCAGGCGTACGTACGTATACGTCGAATATATGTATCTCAGCATCTAATATTTATAAATTCAAGTTCAACTCTTTCACCTCTTTACGACCAGATTCTCAATCATGCGAAATCCAACCAGCTTTGAAAACAAAATGTACACTGCCATGACCAAGCATTGTTCAGAAAATGCTAATAATTTAGTATCTCTCTCAGTGTCGCAAAGAGATGCACGTGTGTGTGTCTGTGTGTGTGTGTGTATCTGTCTGTGTATGTGTGCGCCGGTGTAATACGAAAATAAACTTTCTAACAAATGAAACGAAAGTCACAAGTACGTATAAAACACTGCACGAGATCACGTAATTTCCCACAAAGATCCTTCAATTTCAATGTCGTTAATCGCATTGTGTACTGCATCGCTAATTCTTTCCTTTTCTTTTTTTTTTTTTCTTGTTTTTTCTTTTTGT